GGGGGGGGGGGGGGCGTTAAAATTAAATAAAAAATAAACACAATATTTCGGATCTCAAGAGAGATACTCGTTATTCTAATAGATGAGACATACGTTTCGTAAGACGAAGAAGAACACATAAGGGAATAATAGTGAAAAACCTAATTGATCACACCCCTCCCTCTCTCTCTCTCTCTCTTTTTCTTTCTCCCCCCTCGATACCACCGACCTCTCCCCCCAACCACGCACGCCGACTTATAATGGTACTAATAAACCCAAAGTGCCTCTGGTAGATTTTTGGGCATAAGCTTGAGTAATAAAAACTATAACATTTATTAACGATAACGACACAATTACTAATAAATGATAATAACGACGATATAATAGGTATAGCCGGTAGCCTAGTCTCTGTGTCTGTGTCTGTCTGTCTGTGCCCTGAGTGTCTTTCCCTGTTCCCTCATTATAAATGTGTAACTATTCCCACAATCCCTTCTGGAGGGCCGCGCTCCAATTTCATTCCTACCGTTAGTCCCATTGTTCTACCCCGCCCCGAACCCTCCTACCCTTCTCGTTCCGGCCGTCATATACTAAATCCCTGATCCATGTTAATCAACCCAAAACTCCTACTGCCGTAATCTGCTCCTTATTAAAAAAAAATTCCCGCATTGACTGTGCTCACATCACGCGTTCTTCACCACACTACCGATTGGCACGTTTTGCTAAATAAATATTGTATCGATGGTTCCTCATTAATTATGGAATATTACGAATCCCAATTTGTAAAATTCGAAGTTAAAAATAAGGTGTGTACTTTACCGTACCGTTCGTGCGTGGCTTGCTGCCCAGCAGTCTACTGTCGTGTGCGCTATCTGTGCTGAATGTGCGCGCCGGAGTGTATCCGTTTCTGTCTGTCCGTCTGTCTGTCTGCCTGTCTGTCTGGTCGTTGGGTATGCATGTATTTTAGCTGCTGATCGATGAAATATTGAGAGGATGCGTGAAAACGATGTGAGAATGAGAGAATTACTGAGAGGAAGAGAAAGGGAATGCCTGGGAAGATTGAATAAGAATGAGAGGGGTGGAGAGAGAGAGAGAGAGAAGGTATGTGTCAGTTACGATTGTTGGTATCAATGAATGAGAGAATATATGAGAAAGTATCAGAGAGAAAGAGAGAGAAAGAGAGAGAGAGAGAGAGAGAGAGAGAGAGAGAGAGAGAGAAAGAGAGAGAGAGAGAAAGCAGTATAAACGTGGGAGATTGAGAACGAACGAGAGAAAAGCGTGAAAGCTTATTGAGTGAATGTCCATGGACTGTGCAAGACTGAGAGAGGCAGCGGAGGGGGCCCACCTATCAATCGGGTTAGCCCCCTCTGCCGCTCATTTTTACGTCATAAACATTAATTACGATTATACATAAATAACGCATTCATCACAAGAATTACGTTACGTTTACAATAGTCATGTTCCTTTCTGATCATAATGATTATGAAATAAAAGAAAAAAAAAGTGGTATCTATATCTCGATCTTGCTACATTATTTTGTACTTGTTTTTAATCTTAATATATTATATATATAAATAATGCGTTTTAAGTTATCCGACTTTTATTATTATTTTTGTATAAATGTGTGATTAATAGTATGGATAGTGTAATAATTTTGTATGTTTATTGAACCAAAAATAAATATTATTGATAAAGACAAGGGATTCTCACTGATCTGAATCCTTATTGTTCAACGGTGCCATTGCCCCAATGTCTTTCTCTTCGTCTAAAGGAGAGATCGTTGGGATTCTTTTCGGTGGGGCAAGGATTGTAGTCTCATCACGAAGGGCACGTGGTCCCACTGTACTCAGTACAACAGGCAGCATCAATAGTCCATGCCAGAGACCGAATAATATTACTAGTAAAAATATTTTAAAGAATGCCCGAAACACATAAGCCTGCGAACCGGCCAACAATGATAATGCCAGCAAGGTCGATCCAGCGCCATACATTACAGCGGCTCCTATATGTCTCACAGCAGTTAGGGCTCTCGTGGTGCGATCATGCTTCCCATTGTACGATTTGGTATTCAAAAAGGCGTGAGCTACGTGGGCTGCGTAATCCACGCTTAATCCCACAGCGAGTTCCAATCCTGCAAACGTGCATTCATCGATAAGCCTTGTGTGCCTCATCCTGTTCCTGGCTTTGTTCATTGTATAGGACTCACCTATGCAGGATACTATGTCCACGGTGAGACCCCAGTAAAACATGAATCCACACACGTCAAGGAGTGTTAACAGAACGCACAGTAATATCCAGAAGCAGGTTTGAGGCTCAGCAATGAGTACTGCAGTGGTTCCCATAACGCAAATTAATGCCAAAATGAGATTCCTTGTGACTTCTTGAGATATCACCTTATCTGTTTCCCAGTTACCAAACATCTTGCTCCATACTGTAACAAAGCCTTGGATATTTGACTCCTTAGCTATTTCTTTAACCGTGTCCATTGCTGGAATCCACTCGTTTGGTCCAGAGAATATTGCAAATCTAAATGGGATGCTGGCTACTAAGATCCTTGGTACTTTGATACCGCAAGTGAGTTTGCTATTAAAGTGAAAATTTCTTTGATACTTTCCACCGCTTCTACTAAACAGGAATTTCGAAAGGTACTGTGTAAAATCTTCATGATCCAAAATAGTGGATTTCATATCTGCAATTGAATAATTAAATGGGGTTATAAAGGTCTTTAATTGAAATATATTATTTTGTATTTTGTGTAAATGTTACCTTTTCCGTAATAAGTAGTTACGAATTCTGCAAAATCTGTAGGCCATGGTTCTATTATCTGTACATTAGTGTCATTCATTAATTTCTCTGTTAGAGAAAGTATTTTTTGAAATTCTCTATGATAATCTAACTCGCCCATATAAACAGCAGCTTCATCACCTCTTTGTGGGTAATGCTCGCTATGCACCTGTATGTAGCTACTCAGATATGACTCTTTTGGTAAAAACCATTTAGAATCAAACCATTGTTCCAATTGATTAGAACCAAGTATACCAACAGATGCAATACTGATAGTGATTAACAGAATAATAATTTTTCCAGGTATAGTCAAAATAATCTTAGAATAAAGAAGATCAATTAATTTCCAAGACACACGATTCTTCGAATCCACTGTCTTAATTTCAAAATTCTCATGAATAATACACGGTAATACACCATTTCTCTTGGCTTCAATCCGTCTTGTATCAAGAGTAAAGAATCCAACGAAAAATGTTACTTGTAATAAGAACGTTACTAAAACACCAACAGCAGCGTATACACAGAACGAATGAAGTGACGGTAGAATCTGAAAAAGTGTAATATATATAAAATCTGTATATCTAATCAACAAGGTAAATCTAAAAAAAAATACTGACTGTCGATGCACCAATGACAAAAGCTACGACATCTGTGAGAGATGTGATGGAAATGGATGCACCTGCATGACTTAGCATGAGACCTACACGTTCTGGTAAAGGTTTTCCTCGATTAGGTTCATGAGAGAGTACCTGTTCCCAAGAAGCCATCATTACAAAGATATCGTCCACCCCAAGACCCATCAGCATAAATGGCAGAGACGTGTGAACGGGCCCATACGGTACGCCAAAAAGAGAACACACGCCTACTGCGATTATAAAGGCACCTGCGACGCATAGTAATCCGGCGCTTGTCAGACAGAACTGCAAGTGTAATATAAATGATAGTATTCCGGAAGGGAATCTTATAGCTACGTGCCAGAAATTCACAAAGTGATTTAGGCAATTCGTAGTAAGACTGACTTACTCGCCATTCAACCCAATTGAATTTCGATAGGATCACTTGGACATAAAAGGACATCAGTATAATTCCTATTATCAGCTTATCAATATCTTGAAACATTGTTGAAGAACTGATATCCCCGAAACTCCTTCCAGCTTCATAGTACAACGTTAATTTGTGACTGTTATTGGTATTTGACAATTCTTCTGTGCTTCTCTTCAGCACATCTAAGAATGCTGATTCCCAAACTAGCACGTTCGGTGTTGCCTAAAAAGAAAGCACGAATGAAATGTAAGTAACGTGTCAGTAAAATATTTTTAAAAAATGGCTCACTGGGAATTTTTATTTAATTCAGTGAGTAAGCAAATTTGGAACGATATCAATTAGTGCAGAAAAATTCAAGGTCTGAATCATGATTCGGTTTAATCGCAAAGCATTATTATAAAAATTATTTCGTAATTTTTGCCCTGAGAAAGCGGCCGTGGAGGATCTCCGATCTGTTACGTACCGATTCGCTAAGAAACGCTGTCGATTTAGTTTAAAGGGTCGACTCGAGGGAAAGGATAATAGTTATTGGCTATAAGGATCTCGACCAATCGGAACGATTAGTTCCCCAATTTGATTATTGTCAATTGACTGCTTTAAAGCAGTCTGTCTTGGGACACCGAGCAAGATCCCTCGAGATGGTTCGCGATCCTGCGCTATCTGTTGATAGTTTTTCTAGCCGTGTTTCCTGTGCGGTATAGGAAGTTCTCGTTTGTGTGATTCTCGAGTTGCTCCCGCAGTATCCAGAAAATCATATCGGTTTTTGTGCGTGTGTTTAGGAAGTGCAATGTTGTGCTATAGTGCAGTGCCCACTTGAAAGTCTTCTGGATGGAGTTCTGGGCCTTCACGGATTAGCTGAACCATCAACGGTGATTATTTCCAATTTATTGATTGATGGAGGGGGGAGAGTACGATTTCCGTGGCCCCTTAATTTGACTATTGGATCTTAATCTATGGACCAAAATAAAGTGAATTTCAAGAATAAAAAAAAGTCAATTTCGTCTTAGTTTAGGAGATACGAACCCTTTAGTGGTTGTTTTATTTTGAATAAGAGTGAATGAAATTATCGGTGCGTGTGTGTGTGTCGCGCGCGTGAAAGTGGGTGGGTGGGTGAGTTTAGGCTCTTTAGTTTCTTTAGATTCTTTAGGTTCTTTTAGGTTCTTTTAGGTTCTTTAGGTAGTTAGATTAGGTTAGTTAGTTTTTCATTTATTTAATTTTTTTATGGAGGGTGATTTTATCCTTAATCCTGGAGCGAGCTTGCGAGCAGAGCAAGGGACCCGCATTCATTAGGTTCTTTACGGCCGTGTATCTCGTAAACTAAGGTGAAATTGACTTTTTTTTATTCTTGAAAATCACTTTTTTGTTGGTCCATAGATGAAAATCCAGTAGTCAAATTGAGGGGCCACGGAAATCGTACTCTTGCCGATGGAGGGATTTCGATTATATAGCTTTGATTCGTTCTTGATCAATTGCTCCTTTCTCTTCCGCACTATTCACCTGACGCTTCCTCCAACCCTCTCTACCTCAACCTAACAGCCTGAGCGGCTGTGTATTTCCTTAACCGTCTGCTCCCGTTGGCACATCCAGTTGCGTTTCTCGATTTTACGCGTCCCCAAAACTCGACCAGATCCGTTAAGCTACCGTCTTTTCTGATAGGTTCCGGCAGAGCTCTTGCTTTGGTGGGGTTGAAACTGTTCCACCTCAACTCCCAGCTCATACCGGCTTGTCAGTCCCCAATGAAACAAGAATTGGCTGGCGCCTGCCTGGCATGCGTATGCATGGACGAAAGGTGGACGGCCGAAGGTGATGTAAATTAGTTCTAGATTTTACGATATCGGTGACGAGTAAAGAAAATACGTTACAAAATATAAATCACATTGATTAACGTGCCATTATTAGCTTCCTATATCATGATTCTGACCTTAGTGCAAACTTACCTTACCCAATCAGCAGTTCCCGCATCGTTGCCTATCTCATCCATGTCCACTCGAGAAAAATTGACATGCACCATCCATAAAGTTTGTACAGCCTTCGCCGAAATGATTCTTCCATTTTGATCAGATTGCGTTCCTCCAAGAAGTTCTGAGAAATTCATTGGATGGCCCAATGTTGGACTAACTTTTACTGAATTAAATTTCGCTATAATGTCAGCCTTCGTTTGGCTGGCTATTAGCGTAGAATTATAATCCCAAATATCAAGAATACTAAACAGTAGACAGGCTTTAGAAAGGCTATTGAGAACTCCACAATACAATTCAGTGGGTGCATAAACTACTGGTTCAAATTTTGTACTATTCAATCGTGCCTCTGGTTCCTGCTCGAAAAAATCGTCATCCAAATTGCCAATGTCTCTTCTTCGGCGCTCTACGTATCCGGATATTACGGGAACCCTGTTAATTCATTTGAAAAGTTATTTAGCATTTATTCAATTTAATAAAAGTAGATCACAATAATGAAAATGCTATATGCAGGTACACTCACTTAAGACATACGTCGGTCCACGTAATTTTTGGTGTGGCATGCGTCTGCGCATCAATTACACGCTTAGTAATTTCATTTAGCTGAAAAGAAATGAAAATAATTATACACCAGTTGGACTTTGAAGTAAATTCTTTGAAAAAGTATTAACATTACTTGAACAAGTGCTTCTGGTTCCAGCACATTATCACCAGTCATTATTATTGATTGGATTCTTTGTCCTTCACTAAAATGTGACATTAACCATTCTGTGTCACGTACGAAATCTGAATCCGGTGGGACCCATAATTTAAGAGGGTTCTTTTCCTGGCGAAATCGAAAAAGGCCACCCAGACACAGCAGAACAACAATGGAACATCCAACTAGCCATTTTTGAGGTCGTTGAGCAATACGAAAACCAACCCTGAAACAAATAAAACAAGCAAGCATTAAATTGAGTGAAAACATAAACACAGTTATGACAATTGTAATCGTAGCATTGAATAAACGTTTGCTTGAATTAAGTCAATCAAAGCACAATCTATAGTATATATATGCTATACTATATATGTTCTCCTTACTCATAGAAAAAATGTTCCACGCGTTGTGAAATAAAAATTGGTATTTGCCGCAAAGTTTTTGGAGCAGACCACTTTTTTCTGTTAATCCTTTCAGGCTCCATTTTTGAAAAATCAAAATCCACTGCTCTACTCGTTCAATTTTTCAAACGGCGGGTAGACGACATTGCTCATCTAGTAAAACAACACTTCATAGTTCTCTTCCGTTCACTATACAACACATTTCCTTTCTCTTGTCACATATATTTCGGACACGTACTGCTTCGTGTCTTGCTAGAAATATACATTAATTGCTCATTAATAAGCGAGTAACGTTATGTGGGACGTATTCAAGACTGGCTGAATAGTAAGCTATATCAAAATGCATAGACAATAGTATGAATAAAGATTTTTTATTGATCAATAAAATTGATACTTCCAGTTGAATTAATGGTTTTATAAACAGCTATTATGCTAATGTACTTACATAACCTTTAAATTTGTCTTGTAAAATGTCACTGGACACCACGTTACCCGCACTTCTTTAGCAACAGTAGGTATGAAGGCTGCTCTAGTATATCCACCACATATATAACTCGTATATATAAGTATACCCTATGCCATACAGATAGAAAATGGATGTCTAGTTCAAATTAAAAAATCTCATATCCTTCCACTGATAAGATATTAATAAAACTCTTATTTTTGTATCATTATACGTGATATCACGTCAACTATTCAAAGATACTGCTTAAAAATTGTTGCAAGTCAGACCGATGTACAAAGAAGCAATCCCCTCCATTATAAAATTGCAAAGTCCGACTGTCAAGGATATTTGATTAATGCGTTTTTTTTTAACGCTCGATAAAAAAAATATACTTTAAAATGCGCTATACTTTGTATGTAATTAATTTTTTATCAAATTAAGGATAAGTGGGTAATATCACATTAGATGATGTTTGCAATTAAATCCGTGTATATTCATTTACAGTACTGAAGGTAACAGTCGTTACATTCTTAATGAAATTTGGGCAGTTCAAGTATACGATCGTACAAAAGAAAATTATGGTAAAAGCATAATATCCATTGGGATGACATATAGTCGATACTCAAACCATTCAATATTAATCAGTCGTTCGCTCTTTTTTATTGAGAATGATTTATCTTTACGTTGGGCTACTGTCGCTCAAAGGTATTAAAAAAAAAACACTTTATCAGACTGCTCAATTACTCAATGTAATTCATGACCGATCGAAGTTGTAAACGTGAGATTTTTGGATTCTCCGTAAATGACCATTCCGTAATATCAGACACGCACGCTATCCCGCAAAATCTACGATTGATTAATTCGATTAATCTCAGCTCGCTATTACAACGCATCATCAATTTGTCGCGTAGAAAAATATCGACATTTTCTTTTCTCATTTAAAATTATCTGAATACGAAACAGGAAATCCGGAATCGTCGATAAGTACGCGTTGCATCCAAAACTATATATATATACACACGTGAAATACAGCGCTGTATTACAGTAGCAAAATTTATACCGAGTATTTTAATATTATGAGAAAAAAATCGTCGTATCCCAAGTCGTAAGAAAATTGTATGAGAAAAGTTTGCGCTTACAAAGAGTCCAAAAATAATGAATCGTTATCGTGAGGATCGGGGGAATTACATAACGTACGAGCGATCCATAAAGAATCCGAGATCTTTTTATGGATTGTTATAATATTTCTATGGATTTACACTGTTAACGTATCCAGCTTCTTATTGGAACACCATTCTATTATATCTTCACGATGTACGCTTCTACTCGCATGACTGCTTATATATAATTACGAATAATATTGTAACGTTAATTCAAATTTAATTGAACGAATACGACTTTAGCCGCCACGATGCTGTATGAGATTTATTGTAAAATTAATATGACATTAATTGCGAATAAATAAACGTATGCTTTACTGATTGAACACCAAAGCAACCGCTGTAAGAGTTACCAATGGAGATCTTAGACATTTTATATAAATTAAGTACAATCTATATTGTCAGCATCGTGCAGAACGATGCATCGATAATATACATTTCCCTGGAACGCATGTATAGAGAATTTGAAAAAAGAATAGTTTTTTTTCGTAAAATGGAAGCTGCAATTAATAAACGGTCTGGTATTGTTTTGCCGAACGCACGGTGAACTAACCTATACGTATTTACACGGTTCACATCGATGGTAATTAAAGGACCGGTTTAGACTCTTCTTAACTAATTCCTGTTTCGTGGTATTTTTGGGATAATTAATTACCACGAAACATTCTATAACGCATTGAAGATATCTCTACGGAGGTTTTCGACTAATAAACTAGCAATCTCTGGACCACGAAGTTCGATCGGTTTACATGAAGTTGTTATCGATTTCAAATGCGCTACGATATCAATAGTACGAACACAAAAATCACAATTCGATTACACATTACTTTTTAACTATTAAAAAATAATAATCGTTATTATATACATTCTTAAGGGGATCTCGAAACCGATCGCAATCTTACGTAGATCATTTGATTCATTTTTTTTTCTTATTAGAGATCTCTGCTATTTCATACTACAGAACTATCGTCATACGTCTCACGATCAAATTAATATTTCCTGAAAGTATTGTATATAATAATAATTGATAAACTCTAAACGGATGTAGAATACTCATGTGACAGTAGCATGATCGAAAGTAAAAGAGTTAGCTGATCATTGATCTGCGTTACCGACTGTAAGACTAGTCTGTTTCGCATATAAAAATCAATCACTCTTGAGTATCCTTGAGAGAACGAAGTCTTGTGATCTTAAATTTAATAGTGTCATCTTATATCTGGCCCATTCGGCGCGCATTAATATACCGCACGGAAAATAATCCATAGAACTGTTTAACTCTCGTCATTAGAATCATTACTGTCTGTTCATTAGAATACCAAAGCAATATTTATAAAGTAAACGATTCGTATGATTAAATGAAACAGAAGCCAAACAGCTCAGAGATTAAATCATGTACTGAACAATAATCCTGATAAAATACAGCATTTTTTGCAACACACGCGCATGTGATATATACATAAAGAATCATCAATCGTTGGTATACATATTACGCTCTGAACAATGTTGAATTCAATCAAACTGTAATCCTTTTATGAATTACACGCTGTACGTACGTTGACAATCAGTTAATGAGTTGAAAATAATGGCTAACCGACCTATTCTCATTGTCAGTCAAAACATTTCTCTCCAACTTATTCGATGAGCATTAATTAATCCAGTCTTAACAGTCATCGGTTTCCATATCACTATGTGATGTCATTAAAATTATTTCTCAAAGTACAATAAATACTGTTTCACCTGTATACACATCCTGACGAAGTTAACAAGCTACAAAGGATAATATCCTTATTTTCTTTCACGCAATGTACAAAATCTGTATTAAATACACATAATACAGATTACATTATATGTCGCCACTGTAAATCAACTGTATTCGCATCGTCCAATCGCTAAGGCTCAATTGCTTTAATACAGCGAACTAAAATTTGTGTGCGTGGCAATAACCCGAGAACACACTTGCCATTAAATACCGAGAAAATATGTACTTCGACGAATGCTCATCTTAACTTCACGATCAAATGAAGAGCCAGGTCCAGATAGGCGAGTATTGCTATGGCTCTTGAATTCGTTTAGGTGTTTGACACATTTGGCAAATAACATTAATCGTTACGGATCATTGTAGCCCTTACGAGTAAGCCAATGAAATGTCAAAACTGAATCGTTACAAATTACAGTAAGAACTCTGGAAGACTGTACAGTGCTGTGAGTACTACGTATAGCCCAAAGATCACGCGATGATAAGCTACATTACATAGTTCTTTGTATAACAGTATAGTTACTATACATTCATGTACAACATTGTTCGTACGTGCTACAGTTATAAATGTTAATAGATATACTCGACTTCAAGTGTACAAATTTCTCGTACCGTTCTTTGTTCAGTGGTATTATTATAACTTTTGTTTTTATCAAGCATGTACAGACATGGGTTACTTAATGTATGTTGCACGTGTATATACAGTTTTTCACGCCTCCAGCAATTTGATTGAAGCACAGTAGCGTCAGATTGCGTGTTTAATTGTATCTTCATGAAAACGTCACGTCGACAGAGCACAATTGAGTCGCAACTATTGAGAAAGCGGTATTGTCTGGCAAGATCGTCAGATCAATACCACCCTGTGTTTCTCCTGGAATAATATTTATAATATTATTTTCGGTGCGTTATTCTTTTCTTTGTTCTGTATACTTAAACTTTTCTGTATACAGATGCATCATAGATTTTTGTTCAGAGTTTATGTGAAACATAGAGAACTACGCGTTCCATATCGTACAGTCATGAAAATTTTGTTTAAATTAGTGCGTGGCCTGAAAGAGATTTCGCGTTGTGAAACTACATTCAATTATTTATAATTAGTATTGCTTTATACGTGTAAATGTATTGTCAAAGGAGGATAAAAAATTTGCACGGCAATTATAAATTTCAAAACGCAGCTGCCGACGCTTTTAGAAGATTAATGAATTTGTCGTTTCATCTTATATTCGAAGCTTGCGAGGATCGATGAACAGCGATTGCGACAAAAATTTCACATAAATTCCAAAGTGCATCTATACGAGCCACTCTTTTCACTGCACTAATATATGCCTATACTCTTCATTATGCAATTGTGTGTCGAGGCAGTGATCATGCGCGTGCTTAGATTCGCATCGCTTGCAAATTAAAGAAATTCCTTAGTTCATAACTAAGGACCTACGTACCTAATCTCTCTCACAGCTTAACATTTACTATTTATATCACTTATTTATATCAATTGCCATAATTATATTATTCGTTCTTTACGACGTCATTCTTGATACTATCATTAATTTATGTAACACAGTCTAGCCCGACCGTAGAGAGTGAACTAGGAACCTACTGGGCCTATCTATCTACCTCGTGTATCTACTTTGGACCGTGCTTACAATTCGCAATCGCTATTCACATGAAATTACGACTTTCGGCACGACCCAGCTACATTGTCTAGCAGATTCTATCAATATACATATATATATTTATAAATCGACGTAGTTATATTAAGTAAATAATGAGGAGTGTGCTGAGTCCTGAGGCAGATCATTCGCTCATTGAAAGTGCTGCTAGAGATTTCCTCATGTTTCCCGTACATTCCAAGAGATTTGCGAATATCATAGTTGCTTGGATAGATTCGCGTTCAGACGTAATTGTTTGTCCGTGTCACATCAGCGTGGCTTTGTCTGAAATAACAGAATGTATTACACAACCAGGACAATTCTCAGGCACAACACTTAAAATCACAACAGTCAACGAGACATATCGATCCAGCCGTCGCTGCAAATCAGATAATTTACTGACCTCTTCCTCAGGAGCATGACTCGTGGCTGGTATTGCCTGTTGCGCTTGTAATGTACCACTAGTACTCGCCGGATGCGCTGGTGCAGGTTGTTGTTTCACAAATTTAGTAGGATCCTGGGACGACTGTGGTGGTTCCGTTCTTCTCAGGTAAGCCGCCTCCTTCTTCGGTGGGACCACCGGCTTGTTAGGTGGCACCGGAGGAGGTATTCCGCGGGACATTGGCAGTTTTTTCGTTGGCAGTATCCCGGGAGCCTGAACACCGGTCGCAGTAGCCACGTGAAAGCCGAGCTTTCCTGCACTCTGTGCAGCCGGCACGAGCTTTGTCGGAACTCCAGGATTCGTGGATGCAGGAACTGCTGGCCGCTTGTCTACAGCCTAGGGAAGGAACACACACCATATCCTCTTTAGCCTTAGGACTCCCCTCTTGTACTGTCCGTAACCTGGCACGTTGCACGAATCGAAGCCACAAAACCATACCGGGCAAAGGAACCATATCAATGTATGAAAACCAAAGCGAGTGTTGACTAGATAAAGAATAGAGATCGACTATTGAGAGTGTCAGTGAGCAGGTGAAACGCGAGGTAGATATTATTAAAGCCGACCCCCTAGTGTTCGTGCTACTTTTTGTAGGGTGCATGTGCAATAATACACCATGGAATCGTTCAATCCTGGTTCACTAGTTATTGCTCCTTCGATTGCTCCAGTTAAAGGCTATACATAGCTTAACGTAATCACTTAACGTATTCTCATACCCTTGCGAGATATAATCACTTTTGTGGACTAGGGATACAGTGCAGGAGCTTAGAGGGACGCTTATCGGTTCACCTAATAAATCATAGTTCTCGGAACAGGCGTGTCTGCAAAGCAATTCAGATGTATTATTAAAGAAATGACTAATTGTAAGAAGATTGTGGTATGAATTGAGTGCCAGCTAGCAATAGGGTGCTTTTAGGAGGGCAAGCAGGGAAAACTTGTAAATAAGGCTCAGAAGTGAGTTGCATACAACTTTTAATTAAGGAATTAATCGATATACATACTAAATAATAATCTTATGTACACAAAGTAAAACAGTATAATAAAGTGTAGTGCCTAAGTATTAATGATTTGTTAACTTATAAGAATAGTACAGTGCAAAGGTATAGTAAGTATATACGGTTATTCAAGACTAATTCACCACCTGAATATGACTCTGTCCATTTGATTTATATTAATTCAAATGGTAGAACCATCTTCAGGTAGCTTAATAGTCCTGAATAACGGTGTATATGAATGTAATCGAATTATTCACGTAGCAAATAGTTTTATAGAAATATATTTCCGAAATTTTCGCGATTATATTTGTATTGTTAATTCTTATAGTTTTTGCACGTGTATACAAAAGTAGTTCCGAGGCCAACACTCTATCTCAATTGACATACGGAAAAAAATAAATTTTAACCAATAAAATTTTTCTTTCTCTCTTTCACACTCTCTCACTCTCTCTTTGCGAGTTCATCCATGCGATTCGGTGCATCCGATACTCAAATTCACCAAAGTGAAACGATTGTGTGCAGTTTATCAGAATTGTGAGTTCGTTCATGCGTCATCGAATATAATTATTAAGAGAGATATGTTAGCAGGACAAAACGTGACGTAAGAAGGCACTGATTTTCAAGTTTCTTTTTTTTTCAAGTTTCACAGAGAGTCTCTCGCTTTTACACTAATAATCTAACAAAAATATCGATCTATCACTATAAAAAGAACCTATCGACGGTCGCTGACATTGCGAGACACAAAAGCTGAAGAATCTTGTTTTTGTTACACTCGAAGATAGTCATTGTAATAAAAAAAGTTAATAAGCGTGTATCCAAAAGCCACAAGACGAAAAGTTTAATTCCAAGACAAACGATAGCTCCAGTTTTACTACTTACACATCCCTCTTATTCGCTCCGATTTGTTTGATAATTTAGAAAAGATATTCATGACGTTTAAAATGTAAAGAAGGATGAGAAAGGGTGTAGAGAGGACCAGGGGATGAAAAGAAAGAGGTATACGCTTACATTATTAGGTACGGAGTAAATATAGAAAGAAAAACTTGTTCTATACTATCCTAGAATTAACAGAGTAATAAGACTAGATGAATCTAAAAAATTAAAATATTTCATAAAAAATCAAATTCATTCGAGTGAACCGCACCAAGTTTTAATTTGTTAATTTAATTCTTATCGTCCCTATTTCCTTCTTTTATCTTTATCTAAAATCAACGTATCACATCCTCTGTGATGTTACGTTATTATATATATTACCTTCCTTGTACATGTTTGTATGTCTATCTATGACGTCGTGTGCCATATAAATATTCTGAATAAATATTACTATTTTTATTGGAAGTGGTAACATTTCGGTATTATCCATTTCTCCTCAAGTTTATACCTACTCGGCCACAGGTTTCTCCATAGCTAGTCGTTAATTTTCAACTATAATATACGCACTATTAAACACCGACTTTGACATCTCAATTGCATTATTAATTCATCACTGTCACGATTGATTTTTATATCAGTAAACTAGCCGGCGTTAAGGGTCCATTAAAAGTAACATGGAACTGAATGTGCAACCCGTTAAAAACTCGTTCAAAGAGAGACGCAGTTTTTTAAATAAAAATCATGCACTTGTGTACATTCGCTACATGAATTAGTATACTCTGTAGAACCTAGCTACCTACCATTGACTCTGATCATACATATTTGTATGAGTATTATTGAAAAATTGAAGTTCCGTTTTCTAGTGTCTTATCAACATCGAAATAGCCTCTTTTATTGTCGTAGAAAAGCCTCTATGTCGTGATTCTATTTTTAAGTTATGGTAAAATCATGAGGATAGTTCGCCATATTTTAAAATATTTATAAGAAAACGATCGAGAGCTTTGTCTAGAGTAAAATTCCTAAATAATAGTAATTTGTTATCGAATTTTTAAGACACGTGTATTATCATTAGTTTCAACAACAAGTTGTCGTTAAATAAGTGTAGAGTGGGTGGGGAAATGTGGATAGGTTACCTGTGCCTCTGTTGGAGCTGCAGGTTCGCCTACAGTCGAGGGTAGTGCAGCTGTATACGTTACTCCACGAAGTGCCTGTCCGGGTGTAACAGATCTAGCGATTCCAGTTGCTGTGACAAAAAAAATGGAAAGAAACGTTGTAAAATACTTGTTACTGAAGATTCTTAATTTTAATAAAAGAAAGTAGACAGAATGATATACGAACAAAATACGGTAATTATTTTCAGTGAATAAAACACATACTTGGTCCACTAACTGGTACGCTGGATACCGTGGCTGTTGGTTGTACTACCTTGCTACTAACCATAGGTGTTCCCGTGCCAAGCACTGCGCCTTTAACTACACAAGATAACAGAAAAGAAACAATATGTTTAAAATATTGTAAACTCAAGTATTATATGCTTTGTTTAAAGACTATATTGAATTTAGCAAAAAGGCATATCCTGTTGCTTTATTAACACAATGATTATATTATGAGTAGTATTGAATACTTACTTGTTTGAGGAGCACTGGCAGGCCTAATTGTAGGCATACCAGCAAGATTAGCAGGTTTCGCTGGTGGTGGTGGTGGAGTTACTCCGACTCCTCGAGGAGGTCCTCGGGCTTGGGTATCCTTCCATGATTCCATTTCGGCCTTCAATTTCTCTAAATCCGCTTCCAGTTCCTTCGCCCTCTTCTCCTCCTTAGCTAGGGCTTGTCTGTACTGCTGTCTTTCCATATCGAATTGGGCCAGGTGCTTCTCTAATTCCGCTTCCATCTGAAGGGACTTTTTACTCTCCTCCTCGAGTCCTTCTGCCATTGAATCTATCCGTACTTTTTCTTCGCTTAAAATTTGCGCCAGATCCTCGGATCTCTTTCGCTCTTCTATATACTTCATTATTATCTTTTTTCGTTCTGCTAGTAATATAAGCACTATTTGTTTCTGTCGATTCTTCTCCTCTTCCAACGTATTCATAGTCTTCTTTAATTCCAGCTCGAGACGTTTTTTCTCCTGCTTCTCCAATTCAAGTTCTTTTTTTAGTCGTGTTCTTTCTTTCTCAAGTCCGTACGTGATATCGTCGCCCTGAGCTGTGTCATGTTCATGTTTCCGTTTCTCTTCCTCCAATTCTTTGATAACCTAAATGCGGATGTTGAGACAGAGAGTGAAAGTCTCGCCGAAACGATTCGTGCAACATCTGGTAATATCATTGGTTCCACTGACTCGACAGGTTGTGATAGTAATGAAGTAAAAAAAACTTAAGTTAGAATTGTAAGGACGTACCGCTCCGTGTCTGATTTCAGCATCTTTGAGAAGCTTTGCCATACGACATTGTGTACGTCTTTGCTGGGTGACCAAAGCTTCTAAGCTTGCCACCTGCTGCTCAATCTGATTCTCCTCAGGCCTAATCACACCTCCTACGACAGCGACATCACGTGCAAGAGCAGCGTGAGGATCAGACGTTCCGCTGCGATACCGAGAGCTCAGTAGATGCTTCATTTTTTCGGACTGTATTTGGAAAATATTATTTAATAGGAAATTACGGTGCCTGATAAGAACGTTGAAGCCGTATGGCTAGACTGAGGTGATGTTAATATTACATGAAAATTCTTCGTTACTAAATGAGCTTTAATTCTTTTTGTTAATAATAAACGCTGTACAACCCATAATAGGATTGTGTAAGAAAGTGCAATTATGTTCTCCACACGCTATGCGTTCACTAATTAAGAAAATGGTATTACTTTTAAAGCAGCTATAACGATGTCCCGTGCTTGAAGTTCCCCTTCTAAATATCCCAGCAGCTTTAGCAGGTCAGTTTTGCTCAACTCCATCTTTGGATTTCGCTGAAATTGAACATTGACATTTAATTAATTTACAGTCATCAAATGGAAATCTTACATTCTTATCATTATAACACAGGCCAATGAACAATTGTCTTGCTGGATGCTTATTAAAGAATATAAAAAAAGTGCAAAAGCCAACAGATCAAAGGGTAATTTGCAAACTGTGAATGCATTTGAATAGATTATAGATTATAATTTTATTGAAACTAATACAATTAATGCATCATCAGCCAGTTCCAAAAACAGAAATGTATTATACTAGCTGACAGATAGTCTAAAATGTTTAATAATTTGATTAAACATTTATGAATGCAAAAGTGAGTTTTACAATATAGAAATTGTGACATTTTCAGAGTATTGTGACAAAGTTTAAAAGTTGCAGATGTTGCAACTGTGAGCAATAATGAATGGTATATTTGTAAAAATGTATCAAGCTTCTTATAAACTGGTAAGCTTAAAATTACCTTGACTATTTTACAATCACATGTGTGAACTAAATAAACTGCCATACAGATACTTTGCAATTTGGCTGAGTGCCTTTTGCTTATTTTATTTAGGAGTGAGGTCCTACATCTGTCTATAACGTCTAGTTCAGTGAAAAACAGTTTAGAAGAAATCTTTCCCAGAACTATAAAGATTTATCATGCAGTTAGTTTTCTTGAGCAGACCATTATTTAATGATATTATTGAAAACTACGCAATAGTGAATAACAAAATTAGTTTTATTTTTATAAGAAATAAATAATAAATTGAGAGTTAAAGTGAAGCAAGGAGAAACACAAGGTAAACACCTAAACAAAAGTATCAAAGATCTTTATTAATTTGCACAGCTGTGTCAAGTTCTGTTATATAGATTATGAAATATTATAACAAGAAATAACCATTTGGAGCAATAAAGATTCAAATGTTTTCTCTGTATCCTTACAAGGTTTCATTCTAAGAAAAAGAATATAGATCATTAGCATAAGACAAGAAATGATCATTAGCATTTTTATGGCAAGTAACAATGACATGAAGAAAGAGAAATCACTCTGCATAATGTATTCTGACATGAAATATGCACATCCTCCCTATAAAATTTTAAATGCCAAGAATCAGAGTTAATGTAGAATTAAATTAAAGGTCCTGTACCATCAAAATATGCTCCAAAAGTGAAAGACACAAGTATAATCCTGACAGTACATGCTCGAAAATAAGTCAGTATCAGTATATAACACAAAAAACACAGGTATTTATTTACTTAATTCCACGCCGGTAACGTTATAAATATTATATACCTTGAGCGTATTGGAGGAACTTTTATCATGGGGTTCAAAATTGTTTGACTGCTGTTGCGGCGGCGGTGGCGGCGGCTGCGGCTGCTGCTGCTGCTGCTGTTGTGGTTGTTGCTGTGCTTGAGCAGAAACAGCATTCGGGACAGTTTGAGACTTGGTCGTGGTCGTAGTCGAGACCGTCGAGAGAGCCGGAACTGGAGCCCCGATAGCTGCCGGACTTGCCGAGTTGACAGCATTTTGACTTTGCGATGCCATCTTGCTTTCGATAGACGGCCTGTAGCTCGTTTCTTCCGTCAAAGATGCTTCCGTCTGCGGACACTAGACCACTTCAACTTCACCCTTCGATCGGGATAATTTCGACCCGATACATAGGGCCGCCTACGGAAGCCCCAGCCTCAAACTCGATACACAACATCGCAAATAATCTCTCAGATTTGTACACCTTCGTCTCTCTGTCGTACCGCGCGAATCAATCTCGGATACTCGGCTATGACAAATCGGGCACAAAGCGCTCAACACAGCCGAGAACTTCCTCACGAAAGCTTCACGATTATTCCTCACGTTACCGACGGCAAGAACTCCGATCGACCGATCGATTGTTGTGACAGAGGTACCAAATCTTTGATTAAAACTAACCAACTAGTACCACATTAAAGGGGATCAAATTGTGAAATCTCTTACAATTTTTATTTATCTCCAAATTGTGTTTTGTTTTAATATTAATTTATGTAGTTTTAGGAATAGCAAGTGATTTGTAACATAGCTATACGTGAAATCATACTTTCATGGTTTGACAATAATGTTTTTAAAAGATTTATTACAAATTCTAGTGGAAACCACCAGAGACATGTGGGATTCAAGAAGGTTTTCTGGAGGGCGCTGATTGTATAGTGTTGAACGTTCGCCGTGACTCGCATATCGTTCTGTCTGCATTTCTAACCTAATAATTTGACGGGTTGTGGAAGGAGTAAACGTTTCATATTTTCATACAACTCGTCGTAGCGGAATATTGTTAGAGATGCCTGAGAGTACCAAGGCTGAGATTAAACCCGTTAAAGAAACGAAAAATGGAAAGAAGGAAGAGAAAAATGATTTAGTAAGTATCCACTGGACTCATTTATTCATGACTTGCATGATGTTTTCGCCGATCGGACATTGTTCTTAGAATACAATGAATTTAAATAGAATGTTGTTTGAATTATAATCGAGCGCAATGTAATTGCAAATATTTTGATTTTCCAATGATTCAATTCTTACCCGTATGTTTAAGAATGGAAACAATTGAATTTAGATAAGTGCAATCTACTAAAAAATTTGTTAACTTTAGAAGGTAGTCAAATCCTCTGAAAAAGATAAAGATGCAGTCTTTCGTAAAGATTACTAAATTACATGCTTTCATTTTTTTTATATATGAAAAGTAATTATGGCAATTCTAACAAATATCAAAGCAATCATTTTTCATCGTTTTATGAAGGAGGGGACTTTTCAAATCTTATAAATTACAATGCTATTTAAATGTTGGATCGATCCATTATTTGATAGTATTTAGTGTCTAAGAAATTCGACTCACATTGAACCTTCTCTAAGTTGGTGTTGTTGATATTTAGTTATTAATAACCAGTATTACTCACAATAATGAATAACAGTATGACATTGTTATTAGAACTTTGGTTATTACTATGTTTGTCATTTTCTTTCAGTCAGAGGAGGATAAACTGCTTCAGGAAGAATTAGGTAATTTAGTTGATCATCTTCAGGATCTTAATACCAACTTGCATCTTCCTGCACTGGAGTCTCTGCAGTCGCAAATTCGTGCATCTACCACATCAATGACAAGCGTACCAAAACCTCTAAAATTCATGAGACCCCACTATGATACAATGAAGAACGTATATGAAAAGATAACCGATCCAAAAGCAAAGGAGTTATGTTCAGACATTATTTCTGTTCTTGCCATGACCATGGGAGAAGGCAGAGAATGTCTGAAATACAGGTTAACTGGATCAGCTTTAGAAATTGGGGAGTGGGGTCATGAATACGTAAGACATTTATCTGGAGAACTGGCAGGAGCTTGGGATGAGATAACTGGTGATGTTGATAGTAAAAAGTTGATAGCCCTTGTTCACGAAATTATCCCTTACAACATGGCTCATAATGCTGAGACAGAAGCATGCGATTTACTTATGGAAATCGAGCGACTTGATTTGCTAGAGCAATATGTGGATGAGAGTGCTTATCAAAGAGTTTGCCTCTACCTTACAAGTTGTGTACCATATGTGGCTGATCCAGAGAACAGTACTCTTCTTCATGCTGCTTCAAAACTGTACAGAAAATTCAACCAATATCCACAAGCATTAAGACTTGCTATGCAGTTGAATGATCTGCCACTTATTGAAGAAATCTTCACAAGCTGCACAGATTTGTAAGTATAACCTGTTTGAACGGCAATTTTTTCTTTTATTTGGTACCTTCTATTTTTCGAGACAAATAATTACACAAGTTATTAAATTTACAAATCACATTTTTCATTTTAATTAATATTAATCGTTTTTCTAATTATTGCAGAGCTGTAAGGAAACAGTTAGCATTTATGTTGGGTCGCCAGCAAATTTACATTGAGATTCCTGACACCTTGAACGAATACGATGACCTAGTAGAGTCTATGTCCAACACACATCTGAATTCCCACTTTCTGAACTTAGCTCGCGAGTTAGACATAACAGAGCCAAAGACCCCAGAGGATGTATATAAATCACATCTTGAAAACTCTAGACCTCCATTCGGTGGTGGTCAAGTGGATTCAGCTAGACAAAACCTGGCAGCTAGTTTCGTAAACGGATTTGTAAATGCTGCCTTCGGTCGGGACAAATTACTTATGGAAGATGGAAACAAATGGTTATACAAGAACAAAGAACACGGTATGCTGAGTGCCACTGCTTCCCTAGGTCTCGTCCTCTTGTGGGATGTTGATGGTGGATTAACACCCATTGATAAGTACCTCTACTCATCCGAAGATTACATAAAATCTGGAGCATTGTTGGCGTGTGGAATTGTCAATTGTTTTGTGAGAAACGAGTGTGATCCTGCTTTGGCTCTTCTTTCTGACTACGTATTGCACAGCAGCAATACTATGAGAATTGGTGCTATTGTTGGTCTCGGCTTAGCATACGCTGGCTCTAATAGAGAAACAGTGTTAAGCTTACTCACACCAGTACTCAGTGATCCAAAATCGAGTTGGGAAGTAGTCGGAGTAGCAGGTCTCGCTCTTGGCATGGTGGCCGTAGGATCGTGTAACGCATACGTTACCACGGCGATAATGCATACCCTAATGGAAAAGTCTGAAACAGACCTTAAAGACACCTACGCGAGATTCTTACCACTTGGTCTGGGTCTGTGTTTCCTAGGAAAACAGGAAGCTGCTGAAGCTATAATTGCTGCTCTAGAAGTTATCCCCGAGCCCTTCAGGTCCATGTCTACGACCTTGGTTGAAGTTTGCGCATATGCTGGTACCGGAAATGTCCTGAAGATTCAGCATCTTCTTCACATCTGTTCAGAACACTATGAACCAACGAATGAGAAGGAGGAAAAGAGTGATCGCAAAGATAAGGAGAAAAAAGAAGAGAAGAAGGAAGAGAAAGAGAAAGACTTAAGTTCTCGCCAGGCTATCGCTGTTCTTGGTATTGCGTTAATCGCGATGGGAGAAGAAATTGGTGCCGAGATGGCGTACAGAACGTTTGGTCACTTGCTTCGCTATTGTGAACCGGTTATACGACGTTCCGTACCACTAGCTCTAGGTCTTATATCCGTTTCTAATCCAAAATTAAATATCCTTGATACTCTTTCTAAATTCTCGCACGATAGCGACCCTGAAGTAGCCCACAATGCCATCTTCGCAATGGGTCTCGTTGGTGCTGGAACGAATAACGCTAGACTGGCTGCAATGCTTAGGCAACTGGCACAATTCCACGCTAAGGATCCTAACAACTTGTTCATGGTACGCATCGCACAAGGTCTAACACATCTCGGCAAGGGAACATTAACCCTTTCGCCGTATCACAGCGACAGACAACTTCTAAGTCCCGTCGCCCTAGCTGGTCTCTTAGGAACTCTTATAGGTTTTTTGGACGTGAAGAATAGTAAGTTTTATATCTGAATCTGTCTTTCATCGTATAAGTAATTTTGTCGAACGACTCAAAAATGATGGAATTATTTGTTTCAGTAATTCTTGGTCGCTCTCACTATCTTTTGTACACCCTGGCCGCTGCGATGCAGCCTAGGATGCTCGTTACTTTCGATGAGGAGTTGAATCCTTTGGCGGTGCCAGTACGAGTGGGACTTGCAGTCGACGTTGTTGGTCAGGCTGGTAAGCCTAAAACGATCACCGGCTTCCAGACACATACAACACCAGTTCTATTAGCATATGGAGAACGGGCAGAACTTGCAACAGACGAATATATTCCAGTCACTCCGATCCTGGAAGGCTTCGTTGTCTTGCAATATAATCCTGATTTTGATCCTTAGTTATAATGTGGAATTTCTTATTCGAATGTACCACTCGTATTGTATTGCTAATAAAAACGTCTGCCTTGCCTCTGCCTGGTAGACTTCTTTCTCAATATGTCTACTATTTATAATTAAACTACCAAAGCAAAGGGAAAGCAGATTCTCTTCATAAACAAGTGTAATTCGTATGTCTTATGTAAATGTTGAATTTCCAGAATATTTTGAACAAGCCATCTACTTTGAATATTATTTTATTATGCTGGAGCTTTTATTAAACTTTTGCATAATAGCAGCAAAAAGATAGTAATATTAATTGTATTTTCAAAATTTCCTATATCGTCTTCGCTACTCTTTTAGATTATTACTGCTTCTCATACCTAATTATGATTTAATGGTCATTTAATAATTAACAAAACTTTACGTAATTCCTTATTGAATACTACTACTTGGCAGGTCCATGCCAGGAATTTCAAAGTACTTTGAACGTACTAATAGTATTCTAAGACTAAATGTTTATTATTAGGTTTTTATCGTGATTATTTTTGACGAGTTATTGCTAATATGTTCTATGTAAAAAGTTGACGTTAGTTTCGAATTTGAAGACTGGCATAATAAACGCAAATTTATGTCAAGTAATGCATGGATCCATCAAGTAGTAAGTTTTCTTAGAGGAATTCACAGCACTCCTGTACTTGACGTAGTGTTTTACACGTAAATGTTTTTTAGGGAGATATCACAAGTTTTTGTTACTCAGCGGGATATATTAACACTTAACTATACAGGTATGACCTTAAGAACATACTTTACAAGACGAGGTCTCTGAGACAATTTGTAGAACTGGATATGAGACCATTATAACTGTACTTCGTACCAGACTCGACAGAGTCTTTTGATAATTTTAAACAAATATTGCCTATATGCATAATTAGATATGTAATGGATACTAATGTTCATTTATTTATATACACAAAGGCATAGCATCCTTACGTTTCTCTGTTATGCACTACAGTGACGTAAAACCAAATGACAGGTGAACCATTCAATTAATGAAATCAAGCAGCCAAATTCAATGCAATGTATAATTTCCAATAAGTACAGACTTCATATATTATATTGATTACAAATCTAGAAAACTACAGAATACGAATGAATAAGGACATAAATATGGTATCAGCAACAAGAAATCTTGTGTATTATTATTAGACCTTATTCAAATATTTCAATTAAGTTACAGTCGCTACATAGCTAAATTTTTTAATAATTATTTTACGTAAAATTAGTTTGAAAAACGTTTAAAAGAAGGAATACTTCTTTTGGCCAATACTGATTTGTTAATACTATATTTTAATGTGGTTGAATCTATAGATGATTAATTATAATTAAATGCCCAATACTGATATGTTCTATTACACAATGGAACACAAAATTAATCTATATTGTTATAATGACTGTGTTTCTTACTATGATTAATAAATACTATCGTCACATCAATCGATTATATGAACGGTTTACAGTACTAATGATTATATTAACAAAACTTTTCATATTGCTGCCGTGAAATTTAAGTACCGCGAAAGGAGAATCGAAAAAAATTACTTTTATGTCTCATAAGAATTGCGAAAGATGTGTTAGCTTAAATTTCGACGTTACAATATACAGAATAAAAACATTTAAATGCTCCAAATTGCTTAAATACCGAAGAGATCTATTAACATAAAAGACAGATTCAATGAACACAACTGCATTCATAAAAATGGAAGACTGAAACAAATTGCAATGTTTATATATTATACAATTTTCAAATCCGAGTTCTCAGTATGATCAAATAAAGATGTTTAGAATGACAAGAAATGGCTCATTTGGTAATGTATATATTCTTACTATTAAAGAAACTTCTTTCGCAATAAATTAATGCAATTGTGCATGGTCATTCCTAAATTTCTTTTTAAAATGTACGATAAAATATAGAAACTCTTATAAGATAGGTAATACTACCGTTGTCGATCAATACATTGTTAAAAATCGCAGTGTAAATATAAAGAATATCAGTCGTTTTTACTATAAATGTTTTAAAACCACTTTCATGTGTTATCATTCCATTTTTATCTTGAAGAAGTATCTGCGCTTAATGAAGTCAGATTTGAATCTTCTCTTTTTCCAAAATGTTATTTATTCCATGGCCGATTTGCGTGCGAATGCCGTCAGGGATAACATTTCGTTTGGGTCTGTTGGAAGTCTTGCAAATTCAATTTCATCGCTGACACTATTTTCTGCAATACCCGTACATCAATTTGTAGTGGTATTCTTTACAATTATAAGCATAAATTGATATATTATATGTAAAAATTGCTTACCGGACGGTTCGATTGGCCATTGTTTATGCGATGGTGCATAAAGACACAGAAGTGCCAAAATATAAATGTTCCACATTCCATATACTCCAGTGAAAAAAGCAGAAGTCATTTCGAGTTCTATGTCTTCATCCCATTTCCATTGGCCTTCTGCTACCTAAAAATAAATCATAAATGTCAATAAAAACCATAGAATATCCCTAAACGCTATAAAAATTACCATACCTGTCCAAGAATGAATCCAATAACTGTCAGTGAAGCGCAAAGTAATGTGGTTATCATTAAAAATTTGAAGCGATAAATGACTCCTTCATAATGCAAACGCCGAGCTGAACTCATACTAGGCAACGCAGCCCGTTTGGCGCTAATATTCATGAACACTTTCCATATCATGTATGTCAGAAATAATAGATAAATTCCAGCAGATACACCAGCTAGTATTATAAAAGACAACTGTGTTTGTACGTTATTAAGGGCATACATATTTTTGGAAAAAGAATATATACTTTTCTACAAAGTTTTTTTCTGAAATTGTGATGTGAAAAACCTTGAATATATATTTTGAAAGGATACAGCCAACTTTGTACCGATCTCTGTAACCCAGATTGAGTAAAATGGATTTCTTAATTGAACTCCACGCTCACACATGTCAAACATGAAGAGCGAAAGGCATCCCACACCAACAGCGGAAAGATGTCGCCAGTAACATTTTAATGTATTTCTTTGTTCACCTTCCTGAATCTATTATTTCCATGAAAAACGTTATAATGATGATATTATAAATCATGTTCTTTTTTTAATTACTGAATATACTTACCATAAGATGTTCACCTGCAAACACTAACCAAAAGGATAGAAGTGTTGCATAAAATACACCTTGTCTGATATCTCCCAAAAGCAACATAAATGGCATATCAAAAGCAAGAGTCATGTATTCCAAAGGCACTAAAAACAATGAACAAAGTACAGAATGTATTAAATATCATGAGTTGGTTCCTTTTTGAATTATGCTGGTATTTCTTGTTAATGTAACTTACTGTTTAGAAAAGTGAGTGCAGAGCCTAGTGCTAAGAGCATATATTCTAGCAATGCTGGTGCTCTTGATAACATGTTCACTCTTCTCCAGTGCCAGACAAGAATGCACAGTACAATTGGGAAATAGATGGTTTTCAAGCTCACCCAAACTTTTGTAAATCCTCCATTTTGGTTAATGACCTAAATATCAAATTTATTATGTACTGTATAGACATAGATTATAATAATAATAATTAATTGATACTTACTGTAAGCCACAAGTCGGTAATATGACCTAAACCTTGGTTAATATTTTTCTCAGTATCAGCTGGCAAACGAATATTCAAAAGGTAATAATCATGATATAAAGATCCCAATTCAAATAATGGCACAGTGCTGCAGTTATATATGTATTGTTCCATATTCTACAGTGATGAAAAATTCATATGCTTTAATCAAAGAATGTGATGATACGAATGTAAACATTATTTACCGTGTCAATGCTACATTCTAGAATTCTTTCCACAACAGAGGCACCATACGGTTTCCACGCATCATCTGGATCTCCTTTGTTTCTATATGCAAGTCTAGCATCCAAAGTGATTTTTGTTTTAGGAGCTATAAATATAATATTACAATTGCATTAATTTGTAAAAAAAGAACTTTTAACAAATAAAAAGTATTATATGCAAAAGAGAACCTTTTACAAATATTGAAATATTTATATTATAATTACCTATTTCCATTTGACTGTGATAGGTGATATCTACTTGCAAGACTCCAATGAGATTTTGTTGCCATCTTGAATAATCTAATACTTCATTAGCCCGAGGAATAGGCATCTAAATTAAATTCAAATGAGAATCATAAAGAGAACTTTCATCGGTGCCATTATGATCCTACTAGTATATTATCATACAACAAAGGTTCTTGAAGAGTTATGAAAAATATGATTTCTTTAGGATATGAATTTACCTGAAATACATAAACAACTTGGAATGCCTGGTGATGATTATCAAATTCTTCGAATCGAACTGGTATACAAGAGCCTTTTCCACGTGAATAAAACCATTTTCCTCCACCTGGTTCAGACCCATTGATACGAATATCTCTACATGGTGTTCCTAATATGTTTTGGCTGCTTGCAGGTCTAGGTGCTGTTAAAAAATATTTAAAGTCACTTGATTTGGTATTTACATAATTTGAATAATGCAAATAAAACTATTCATTATATTTGAAGTAACAATGAACAACAATGAACCAAAATCATTAACATGTAATATAAATCGAATACAAATAGTTTACAAATTCAAACACGTTTGTATATAGGGCAGTAACATAAAAAGAGCAATAGACGTAAAAATAAAACGAAATCATAAAAGGATTCCTTTCATTCCTGCCATTTATATGTCGGACATAAAAATCATCTACTTCCGTTCTGACAAAAGAAATCTATGTCGCCAAAGAATTTGATATTTTCCTATAGTATATAATACGGAGCAATAAATACTAGGATCCTCCTTTATCAAGTAAAATAAGGTATACAGTGAGCTAAAAAAATACCTATTTAGTAACTATACCTATTTATAAGTAACTATTGCAAATCCAACTAAAACTTAAATTTGACAAAACTCATTAATAGCCAGCTAAACCTCCCGCTAAATTCATTGAACAAAGAACTATGCTATGGACCCATCAGCATCTCTCTTGTAAACAATAAAATTTTGTCTCATTACTCACCAACGAGACCGCCAATTAAAAAGCAAACTATTTGTGCGATAATCAACAGCACCACAAGCACTGAAAGCTTTTTGCCGCTTAAATTCTCAATAATAGTTCCTTGCATTTTGTCAGGACGCTTTGAGTTACCGGCACGCTATCACAATCTTCGGTAAAATGTCGCTTCGTAAATACAGTGAAATTCGACGACGCGGTAAACTTTGATGTAGCCCAGACTACGTCGAGCAAAGATGATGTCGACTCTGACAGCATCCAACAGGGGAGCATATCCACCCCACTACTTTGTCGGCAAGTTTTATGACTAGGAAAGGACAAAGGATCATGTACGTTTTGAACAGAACCAGGATAAGATTTGTATCTCAGCATTTTGGTAGTATCCGGTTCGTCAGACAGCAAAGGAACAAGGTGAATTTTCATTCTGAATCTGATACACCTTGTCCAAGAGCGATTGAAGAATAGTTCAGAAATCTAGAGTGGGTTTATCAGATCATAATTTACTACAAATGAACAATTTTACATAATTGTTGTATACAATAAATATGGAGAAATGGATATGGAGTTACATGCAGATTCAGATTGTCCATAAGAATACTCATTTTGTTAGCGTTGCTTGACATTCATCTAAGCGTTAACGTAGCGTTATGATTGCTAATTATAATTTTTATAATTATTACTATTATATACAGCTGGTTGTCAATATACTGATAATTTATTTTTTTTATAAACACTTATTTCTGTATAGCTATAAGAGTAAAGCAGTACAATATAAAACAAAAACGGTACAAGTCGTATCAGCATGGTGTCGACATTAATGTTACTGTTGCCCACGGTCTTACATGCAGGTCTTGCAACTCGCCCAATTTTCAGCGGTGGGGGTAGACGTGGTTTTGAAGCACGGCACATTTTAAATTTTAGTCACAAGCGTCGCTGTGATCGAGCGATCCCTTATCTATCTCACTTTACAATCGGCTGTGGGAGAGAGAAATAGGAACGGATCGCTTGATCGCAACGCCTCTTGTGGTCATGAAGCGAAATGAAAAATGCTTCTAAAAGAAGACTACCCCCTCCAAAGGAGTTACAAGACCGTATGTACCACAGTGTGTGCTGTGAAATTACATACATAGATTGGTCAACGCCGCTGCGCAACTTTCTGACGCTAAGCTTCCTTCCTTCCTTTCCTTATGGCTGACTCCTCCAATGAGGAGATGTGCCAGTAATGACGCTAAGCTGAGATGGAGCCCTAAAGATTTGTTCAGTGATAGTTCTATTAGAGATGAGTATGGAGATGCACAACGCCAGAGATAAGTAGGGAGATGCACAGCGCTACGGTTTTAGGAGATACCAAAAGCACGGCGCTAAATTGTAGCGGCGAGTCCGGGAGTAGGATTTCGTCATCATTGCCTCTGTCGATGTTACAGATTTCGCGTTGCCGCGCGGGTCATGATCAT